TTGAGGCAAGAACAACTTTTCTCACTTGGAAAATCAAATTTGCTGAATTAACAGCCACTAGTCCAGTTGGAAGGATAAGTGTTATTACTTATAGGAACAAATATGACATAATAAGAACTAATGATTCTACAAATAGTACAGAAGCACGTTTCCTTCTTTAATTCACCTCTCCCTGCTAAGGAAACTGAACATGATATACAATGTTTCTTGTCAACACTGGCGGTGTTGAGCCTGGCCATATGTGGAAAGACTAGTATTCATAAAGGAATTTGAATAAGCTATAGCATCACTTGATAACTACATTCTAAAAACACTGATTTTTGCCCAGCTGGACCTATGATCCAGGAGATCATGGTTCGATTCCCAGTCAGGGCACATGCCTGGGTTGTGGACTCGATCCCCAGGAGGGGATGTGCAGGAGGCAGCTGATCAATGACTCATCATTGATGTTTCTCTCTCTCTCCCTCTCCCGTCCTCTCTCTGAAATCAATAAAGATATATTTTTAAAAATAAAATAAAAAATAAATAAATAAAAATAAAAACACTAATTTTATACTATCATGGGACAGATATGACATATAAAAGAGATGCCTTAGGTAAATACACAACCACATTTCCATACCCAAAAGCACTATGAAGCAAAAAAACCATTTTGATATTCTTAAAGTCAGTAACAGAATTTACACATAAATAGATATTATTATATAGATCACTAATCAGTGCAAAAGAGAACACACAATAAATTATGTAATCACAAATTTGTATCTGTATCGCTCATAAATAAATTTCAACTGGATAACTGTTACATGCAAAAATTCAGTTTTATATAATGCCTAGAGGAAAATATAAAGAATTATACGTAAAAAGGTACATTGGAAAAAAGTCATGTAAGTCATCTTAAAAGTCATGATTTTTAAAGTAAAAACTCTTTAGAGGAACAACAAGATGGCGGCGTAGGTAACAGCTGCACCCGCCTCCTGCAACCACATCAACATTACAACTAAAACACAGAACCACCATCGCTCAGAGCCTCCTGAAATCCGGCTGAACAGAAGCCCCACAACCAGGGAGCTGAAGGAGCATCGAGACCGGGCGGAGGGGCGGAGACGCGGGCGGATCGGGGCTGAATCACAGAGACGTGCCGCGCGCCCACACCCGGTGCCGCGGTTGAAACCCGGGAGGGAATCTCGGCGGTGGGGGTTTCCCAGAGGAGGGAGGGTCCCAGCCCCACACCAGGCCCCCAGCCCAGGGCTCCC